CTTAAAAAAAAAAAAAAAAAAAAAAAAAACAAAGAAGAGAAAAAGAAAAATTATCCTCGTCCCTTGCACGGCTTTTCCTACTTTTTTCTTCTTTATTTTTTATTTTTCTTTTTTTTATAGAACACAGCGATCCAAAATACGAGACAGCTAACCGAGAAAGTGGGTTAATGCTTAATCGCGTTTAATTGTCCGTTTCTCGGCACTGGTTCGCCCGCAATTACCAGAGGTTACCTTTGAAACTCCCTTTGACCCTTTTCAAACGGATTCAGCTTCTTGGCCAGAAATAGCAAGCAAATATTTCAAAGCGCAAATTAAACGCATAACTCGATTAAAAGTATCGATTTCGTTATAAAGCACTTTGGTTCGCGACAGTCGTTTCGCCGAGCGTAACTGGAAATTTATTTATTTTCGAGTTGTTCTTTAAAAAAAAAAAAAATACGAAGGACGCTAGATCCGATTCTCGATTGTACGTATTCTCGGGACGAAAGAGCAAAGTACTGAAATTAAAACGGGATTTCCAAGCTGTTTCGAACGCGCAGTTTGCCGAAACTCTAATCTCTATCGATGGAGCAAGTCTTTTCGCCTCTTCTTCTATCGACGCGGCTCTGGTGGCAAATATTCGTAGCTATTCGATAAGAAACGAGCTTGACTCGACTGCTTCCTAACGTTTCGCGTGTACGATCGTCCGTTTCGCAAGGTCCGAGCATCCAAGAATGCCTGCTTCTTACCACCTACTTAGTCACCTAAGCATCGTCGATTCCAGGCAAGACAGAAATTCCTCGTACGTCTCGGTTTTTCCGCGATATTTGATTTTCCGGCCAGGCCTCGGACACCGTACGTCCATACAGGCTTAACGACTGTTTCGCACAGCGAGTTGGCAGCATCCGCGCACCAGCCGATACGCCAATTTTTCTGAACATTTTTTACGCGTTGCATCGTTCGTACAGCGTGCTGTTTCTCCGTTTACATAGTGTACGTTCTATCCATCGGCAGAACTAAAGTAAAAAGTCGACGATCGGAACCGGCGAGGGAACTTTTGAAAGGCGAAGACGTGGAAGCCGACGGCTGAAAGAACGCTGTCAGACTCGGTCTAACACCGAACCTCTAATTGAGATCATTTCAACTCGGTTTGCGTCAATCTACGCGAACGGAGGAAGTTTTGTCCATCGGTCGGTGTCGCGACGGAGCTTGCCGACTGTCGGGAACAGCGGAAAAATTAGGGGTTTGCGAGCACGACTTGCCGAACGGCCCGCTTCGAGGACGGATCGCATTTGCGAGCCGTAGAACGAAAGCGATCGAGCGATCGGCATCGGAAATCGTTGCTCGTGCGACGAGTTTTATCTCGACACGTTAAAACGACCCTACTGCAGCATTAATTCAGACAATTTGCGACGTGGTCCACGCTCGGTCGCTCTTGTTACATTCTTTTCGTGTCTTCCCATCGTCCTCCTGCCCCTCTCGGCGTTCATATACGTGCTTACTCTCCTCTCCTCTCCTCTCCGCTCCTCTCCTCTCCTCTTCTCTTCTCTTCTCTTCTGTCCGCCTGCTTCCGTCATCAGTTCGTCTCCCTAGTCGTTCGTCTCCTTCGGATGAAAAACGCAACGATCGACGCAGATCGGATTAGAAGCGATACCACGATACGATTATCGGCATACGTCGTTGGCGTTATGTCATCGTTAGCGCGATCCAACGAGGATTGTTCGTATTTTTCGTTACATCTAACGTCCTGGTAATCGGCCAGCTATTTCTAATGTCGCTCGCGAAGAATTCGTCCGGAAAAACCGTAGTACGATACGCGAGGAACGCGAACACTCGTCGATATTTATAAAGAACGGGGAATATTTACCCGTGAGATTTAAAACGCGTAATACCTACGCCGGCGTTTTCAAATATCACGTAGGTGCGAACGAAGGATAATTTCATCGCCCAACTCCACCGATTAATCAGCAAGCAGCCGTATTCGTGCGTAGGACATCGCGATTCGGATAAAACGAGCGATCTTTTCATTCGCTGTCTTTCCCCTCGTTCCCCCTTCGCTGGCGAGTCCGAGGCAACGTTAACACCGATTCGGTCGTGAACGCAACATCAACAATAAGTGCGAATTTCTTTGGTTAGCTGTCTTCTTGGTAGCTGAGGATACCGCGTGCACGGTGAATCGAGGAAGGAGCCGATGCAAAAAGCGGAATAACCAGAAATTTACTCGGAATATGAGCCTCGTGAAAAGAAACAACGGAGATCTCGTTGGAGGCCGAGACAAAAGGGGGGCTCGTTGCATGTTGGCCAGCCTTCTCGTAATTTCGCCCTTGCAAAACAGGAAGTGCGATACAAAGAGAGCGAGGCGCCGCGTTCTTTTTTCCTTCCGCGATGCTAACGAAATTAAAGGTTCCTTTGTCGCCAGTTTCACGAAATACGCGTATCTACACTTTGCAATAAGGCCCTCCTCTTCCCTAAGAGGATCGTTGTAGAGGGAAAGAGGAACGAGCTGTACTACTTTTCGCAGCACCGCTTTTTCTCAAACTCTCCTCTCCGTCATGCTGATACGACGACTCCATGGTACAGTACTCGACGAGCAGAAACGAGATACAACGGGTTTTCGGTGTCCGTACTCGTCGATCGAACGGCGTTTGCCGCCTTTAGCCTATCGCGTATCGTTGTCTCGTCCACGTTGTCAACCAACTGTCTTCGTGGTTCCGATATTGGTTGGGCTACGTTATATTTTTCCAGCCACCGCGATACCGGAGCATACGAAAAACGTCCGAGAAACCAGAGAGGCGTTCAAGCGAGAGAGGCGTCGTCCGAAAGATTTGAACGAGGTACGTGTCGTTTCCGCGTTAGCGGAGAATCTAGACGCGTTCCTAGACAGACGCAACTATTTTTATTGCGGCGTTATCGTTGAGCGTTATCGAGCAGCGAAGGCATTTCTTCCAACGGAATATTCCAACGTATCTTTCTCGCGAAACTCGCAAATATTTTCGTTGAAAGAGGAATACGCGTCGATCGATTATATCTGTCGTTTGGCTGTAGAAAAGAGATATCCGTCGTTTCGTATCGATAAATAGCGTGGAAAATTGGATTTTAAAGCGAGTGCTAATTCCGTCGGGTTACCTAGATGGGTCGAGTTGTTCCGAAACGGTTCCAACGGCGTCGTTGGAGGAACAGAGAATCGCGAAATCCGAGCGCCTTTCATCCGTGATTGCAGCATAGAGACACGATTTACTAGGTTCTTTCAATCGAGGCATGAGCCAGAAGTTTTATCTCTGACGTTTCTGTTCTTTACAAAATCAGGAAATCCGTCTTTTTGCAAGGGGGCCGAGGCACGTTTCACGCGTCTATGAATGAAGATCCATTTACATACGGTTTCGTATGGAAATTAGGCTGTAGGGCGCGCGAAACCTGTTCCAAATGCTCCGCTAAAACCGATTCTTAGCTTCAAAACCGATCCGTATTTGATAATTTTACCACTGCCGCGAATGTATACGCTCGCGTAACTGTTTTTCCACGCTTAACTTATTCTCCTAAAAATTCAATCGAGAAAGAATAGAGAAAATAACCGATAACCACGATGTTTTCCAACAAATAGGATATTTAGCGACGTAAGTGGTAAACGCGTAAACTAACCTCGATCCGACACGTTCGTCTTCGATGAAACTTCTTACCGGTAAACTTACGCTTCTTTGCTACGATCTTAACGGATTGCAACGCGTTTACCTCCAACTACGAGATCGTCGTCACATCGTTAGTATCCACGGCATCCGCGTTTCCCAACGATAAACAACGATAACGACAGAGAAGGAAGGAAGGAGGAAGGAAGACGGAGGTTCGAGGCAAACATCGTTACGCGTGAAACGATAAGCCGCGCTAAGCGGTTTCGAAAACGTCTTACGAGACTGGCAACGATTTTCCCACGACTCCTCCCACGACCTACACAGATTCTTTTCGAGGTTCTTCTTTGCCTTTTCGCCCCCTCGCCTTGTTCTCGTTGGCTGTCTTTCTCGCGTATACGAATCGTATTGACCGAGTCTTCGTCTCGGGATGCGAAGAGCTCACTCGGTCATGTAACGGGATGCAAGGAAAACGCACTCCAACTCCCTTTGATTTGCTCGCACAATGACGGCTTTCGTCCGAACAATGGCCATGCGAGGGTAAGATACGTGCTTTTCGAAGGTATCCGCCCGGTCGCGGAGAAGTTGAGGAAATCAGGACCGCAAAAGACGGGCTACCTGGTCGTCTGTAGCCGGATGGACGAGAGACGCCGAGGGAAGAAAGAAAAAAAAAGAAAGAAAGAAAGGAAGAAAGAAAGAAAGAAAGAAAGAAAGAAAAAGCGTGCGGGGAAAAGAAGTCGTGAACGCGCGCAGAACGAAGAAGAGGGAACGACTGGAAATACAAAAAAAAAGGAGGCACGAGAACGAAACGTGGCGGGATCGAGCACCTACGTCGATATACCGGTTACGCGCGCGCGATCATCATCCCCCTGCTTGCGACATGGCCGAAAAGTTTCTCACGAAAAGGAGGAACCGTACCTACGGTGGTCGACTTTGTCCAGAAGAAACGAAAAACGATCCTTCCACCGCCAAGCCACGCTCCTTTTTTCCTCTTCTCCTATTTCTTCGTCGAGTCAGAAAAGAAGATGCGCTCCGTACGAGGAAACAGAACACGGATGCAGACCGCGGCGTAGATCCGTGTATCCGTGTGTCCGTGTGTCCGTGTATCCAAGCGATCCCCGTGCACTTACGTTTGCAGCTAGAAGCAAAGAGCAGGTAAGAAAATGAAATTACCGTAGCTAGAAAAATGGCGTCGTCCTATTAGTATTTACGAAGAAAATGTCAAGCCGATAAGCGTTTCGCGGAGTTCGCGCTCCTACCGCACCTTCCACTCCCTCCTGGATCGCTTACGTTACTTACGTTGCTTACATAATAAGCGATGAACTCTCGGAGAACTCTTCTCCTCGCCTTTCTCATCCTGTCCCGGTCCCTCCTTTCTTTTCTAACCGCTCGTCTCGTTTCCTCGCGGTGGCACGGCGGCACGGCGGCACGGCGGCAACGGTTAGCGACGACCAAGGCGACGGTACACGAGCGCATCGCGATGGAGCAGCGATATCGGGACCCCGGCATCCAGAGTATAAAGGGAAAACGGTCTCGAACAGGAGGGAGTAGAGAGAACACGGAGGTCGACGTTACGCCACTGAGAATTTCTTCTGGCGATCCTCTTCGTCCCGATAGAGCTGTCGGTACCGTCTTCCTCTCGCGTCCACTCGTACCACATATCTTTTGCGCAACTCGATTGGCTTAACTCGCGCGCGCCACGCACATAACCTATTCCGCAACCACTCCGATTCCACCGGGAATATTTGCCCGCCAACAATTTTTCAAATCCTACGCGCCATCTTGCGACTTCCGTGTCGTACAGTTCTTCGATCTCGACCCGTTCTAATTCTTCGCGATGATAACGAAACGAAAGGCGTATCCTCGGAAGCAACCTAACCACTTAGTATTTCATCCTTTCTCTTTTTCTTACGAGTCCTGTAAGCCGGTGAAAGACGCGAACGAACCTTTAAGCGGCCGATCCTCCTCGTAGATTATTTCATAAGCATTCCCAATACGGAAAAGTTCATCCGCTCATACCCGGTATGAGCTCGAGCCGTTGCGCAAGCGATTCCAAGCCGGGGATCGCTCGTTCGTGCGCTCCTTGCCTCTTTGCTTGCTTATACGCGTCCGTGTTCAAATTCTCTGACATAAATGCATATATAAATACACAGAGTTACGTACGTGTACCTTCGAAAGTTGAACTGCACGAAGCTCGCAGTCCTTAAACGCATCGGAACGTTCGAATCGACTAGACGTTGCAAACATTGGACGCGTGCTGCCCTCTCTCGTTCTCTTTCTCGTTTAACTGCAAACACCGTGTTTACGCACCTACACATACTCGCGTATCTATCGAACCAGCGAGTATAAACGTTTCCATGTAGTAAATAACTTTGTGCGAACGACTCGCGATAATTAATATATATATATATAAATAATAAATATTACAACGATAACCTTTCCTATCTTAATACCGCGTTACTGCAAAACCTCGCGTTTGTAATACGCAACTTTTGATACGAACTGATTGCTTTTTCCGTCTTTCTTTCTATTCGATACTTGAGTAAACTATTACTCGGTAACGAATCGTACAGATTCGTATATAGAATCGCGTATACAGCGTATTTGTGTTCTTATCCTATTTACACTGCTGCGGGACAACGACGTTTTACTCTGTCTATCTCCTTTCATCCGATTCAACAACGAAATATCGATGCCGAGTACCGAATGCGATAACTGCGTTCCAACATTATAATAGCGACTAAATGGTTTAATCGCGAATAGAGACGAATACGAACCGTAACGTTAAGCTACAAACTAACGATACTATAAACGATACTAGAACGTAGAACGACGAGGGACCGAATGGCCGTTCTCGGATATTTTAACGATATTTGGAAGCAAAGGTCGAACGAATCGACTAAATCGATCGAACGACTTTTCATTTCGTGTTCCAAGCTCCGACTCGTCGTATATTCTTTCGATAAGAATAACAGCAGGAGGAGGAGAGGAACGAGCGTAGAACCATGAAATTTGATTAGCTTTCGCAGCTACGCGTGTGTTGGTTATGTAAGTTGGGGCGAATTAGCATTCGGTTGGTGACCGAATCCAACGTAAAATTTAAAAAACAGACAAGAATATCGGGCCGTAACTCGTTGGTAATCTTTGGCAGAGTCTCCGTACGGCCGATTGCTAATCGCTTGCCTCCTGAGAAATTCAAGCGGATCTACCTCGATCACGTAGGGGCGATTTCAAAAACGGGACACGTTGTCGCGAGCATACTCACGCCCATGCGCGCACCTACGTGATCGGGTTTTGTTTTCCACGGCCTCGTGTACGCGGAAGAATTATTCCCAAAGGGCTTACCGCTTCGCGCTGTCCCGGAAAAGGTGTGCGTACACGCGGCCGTTAGCATTCCTCCGCAACGCAGACGTCCGATCCACGAAATCTAAAGGAACGATCGATGTTTTCCTCTTTGTTGCTTCTTTATTTTTTTATTCAAGGTCGCGTCAACTATCTCTTACGGTCGTTAGCGGCCGCGATCGACGAAATACGCAATTAAAATACGCAACGAACGAAGCGTGAAACGGGATAAGGGCAGGTTACGAACTCGAACAACGATATCCATATAACGAGATACTTGGGCTCCAGCGTACCTCTTACCTACGAAAGAACCCTGCCCCGATTAAGACTATCGCGTAAAGTTGCATGAACGATAAGCGTCAAGGGTATTACGTGTTTTACCAACGACGATGTAAACCGTACGGTACGAGCGAGACGGAAACGTTGCAACGCGTCCTGGTCGAGCGTCCTTCTCGAAAAATATGGACGTCGTATGTATCCTTTCCCTCCAAAAAGAAAGACCAACCATCGAGATGTACGTACGCGTACGCGTAAAATCATGCACGAGAGTAGGATCACTCTACTTGGAGGAACCAGTAGGAAAAGAAGCCGGGCGATGTAACAGAAACGAACGAAAGAAAGCCACTCTGCCGAATCGATGGACCGACCGTTTTCGGAATGTTGGAAAGCTTGCATTTCGGCGATACCATAGCAATAACAGCAACGCGTGGTGTAGATCGGGTCATCTTGATGCAGGCGGCATGCGCGAGATAACAGTTTGTTGTATTTTGATAACGTTCAGAAACCGTGATATCCGTTTAAAAATCCTAACGATAGTCGCCTTTACCTTTCGCCTTGGACCAAAGTCAAGGGCATCGCCTGGTCGAACAGACAATAAATACCATACGGGGCTATCTATCGGAAAAATTTGTCCGTGTCGTTCGTATTTTTCCAGATATTTGAGCGTTTCCAGCTAAACGACGCGTATCGTACGTCGATCGTGGAGAGTCTAGAGGGTCTCTTACGCACGATAATCGGACACAAAGCCGAAGATAGATCCGTCGTATCGTTCTATCTTCGACTTTTTACATCGTCGTGATTTTGACAAAATTCGGACGAACCGGTTCCACGTTCTCCAGTTCTGCAGTTACGTCAGACGTTACTCAATGCGAAAGAACTCGATTGCACCAGCCGCAGAAGCGAGGGAGTTGTGCCATCCTCGCTTATCTCTTCCTTTCTTTCGCTATAGCGCGCTACTTCTTTGGCGTATAAAGTCGAGTCGCTTTCGAAGGATATCGTCCGCGCTACGAGTGCCACCTCGAGTTTCAGCTCCGTCCCCGTCTTTTCTAAAGACGCTCGTTCGCATTGGACCTAAAATCAAGACCAATCGGTTCGTCACGGCGATAAAGATGCATGGATGACGAAAGAGATATTTAAAGAGAGAGAGAGAGAAAGGAAACTCCGTGAATCTCATGGAAGGCAGCGCGTTACGCGTGTTCGATTACAGTAAGCACGCTTTCCTCGTGACATAATATTATTTAACCTAGAATAATACCGTGTACGATGGTTGCGTAAGGATAGAATTCGCGTGTCGGTAATTCGCGACACGGCTGCGAACGCGAGGCTGGTTCTTTTATTATATAAAGCCACGGGTTGCGCCGAGACCGTTCGGTCGACTACTGTCGCGTTCGCGGCAGCGCCTCCAGGACAGAAAGTTTCCTTCGTGGAACTGGCAAAGTTTTCGAACGGCTTCCGCCGAATCGAGCGCTGTTGCGCGATCAAAGAACTCGTCGAAACGAGACAATGCTATGCAGAATACGATACGTTAAGTCCTGTCTATGTAACATTGGTATTCCAGATAGCGCACACGCCTCTTGTCGAGGAACAACGAGGAAAGTCGGAGAACGTCGTGCCGTTGCATCGCTAACGCGACTCTCTTTACTCGTGATTCCTCCGCTTCGTGAATCCTCGCGCGACTCGTGATCCGTGATTCGCGATCCGCGTTTCGGCCCTAAAGGTCGATGTGAAACGCCGAGATACGATCGTTTATGTAACACTCGCTTCTCTTTTACTCCGTAGCTACCCTCCTAGCCTTACAGACGCTAGCTTAACCGATTTTTTTCTTTTCTTTCTTTTTTTTTTTCTCTTTTGTTACTTCCGGCCGCTATCGAAAATTTTTATCAGCGGTTACCGATAATCGGTACGCAGACAAAGCACGCCAAACACGGATCCTCTATTCGTTTGTTGCGTACAACTTTCCTTAAGCGGGGAGAGCGGGTATATCCGCTGCAGTTGATCGTTCCGTCGGTGGGCCGAGCAACCAAAAACAAAATTCCATCACGAATAATGGTTACTGACGACGAAAGAGAATTCTCTCGTATGCAATGGCTATCGGCGATCAAAAACGCTTTGTTAATCTACAACGATCGGTTGAAGTAATCTGTTGTAAATTCTTGTACCTCGATCCCTTTCGTTTTGGTTGTATCACACCACCTTAGGTACGGAAGATTATTACATTAATCGGCGTGAAATTATCGGCGTTATTCACCGTGTTACCGAAATCGTTATCTACCGAATGACCTTCTATCGCGTCGATTCGTCATTTCCAGCATTTTAAGCTCGCGTATCTACGTCCGATCCGACGATAAACACGCGACGAGTTCAAACAACGAATTCGAAAAATCCAATTCCTTGCCATTAGTATTCCGATACGTTGACATTCAAATATAACGCTTAACAGAGACTTCGTATAAATCGAGAAACACGAGTGGCCGGAAACTTTTGGACACGTTATACATATGCATTAGTAACTGATTCCGATACGCGCTATTACTATTCCTCTCTATCGTATCGTATCGTAATATATAAACGCCATTGCTCGCAACTATCTGGAACAAACCGTTTACCGATTTGATGGAAACTCGATCGTCCACCTTCCCCTGTGTTTCCTCGTTGCCTGCCGCCGCCGTCCTACGTATCGCTTTCGTTTTCATTTGGAAAAACGCTCTAGAAAGAGGATCGATTCGTATCGTTCAGCGATATGGCCGCTGCATAATTTTCGATTCGCAGCATCCGCGATGCTGATGCAACGCGCGCGCGCGGACGAGTTCACGAGAGACTCTCTTAACCGCTGCTGCAATTACGTTGACGCAACAC